ACACAACTCAGTCCTTGTGCCTCCGAATGAGACTTTGACGCAATATGATATTGGCAAACCGTATGTTGTTGTTGTTGTTGTAGCGGCTACAACAACCCCGCCCAGATCGGTTAATATCTCAGTCGTTCTCGTCAAGCTCCACTAACGGAAGCACCAGGAAGCGTGCGGCCTCAATGGGGTCGGTCCACAGGGACAAACGCGTTAGTGTTGTCGGGTTTTCTGGGCATACGAAGAGATGTTTCGAGTCGTGGGGTCTTACACCGCATGCCGGACACTTATTTGGCACATCTGCGTCTAATCTGCTCAGGTATGAGTTTAACCTGCTGCAGTAGACAGAGTGAAGTTGGGTTATTGTAGTTCCAGTCTCCCGAGGCAGATGAAGCTCCGTCTCGTTGTTGATGTCCGATGGTTGTGTGCCTAGAACGGAATTCACAGGTCTGGAGTCTACATAACTCGAGACTGACTCCCTGTGAATGCCGCTCAGGGCCTGTCGATATGCTGAGGGGTCCAGAGGCTGCTTAATAAACCTCTGGACTTCGTCCGTCAGTTCGTAGAGATGCCTCCTGACTGCCTGGGCGAGGGCTCTTTTGCAAGCAGTTGTCTATTTGGGTGACCGCGTATGTCGCTTCCAACCAGAAACTGCTTGCAGAGCATTGTGTTATGCTCCATTAAAGGCGACATCAGAAGGCATCCAGTCGCTGTCCTAAGTGCAGTGATTTGTGTCGTCTGTAGCTTCATCCACTGCGTCCTACTAGTCCCCAGCGACCACACTGGTGCTACGTAACTTAACACCGGCCGGCATATTGCCTTGTATGTTGCCAGCAACGTTTCTTTGTCTTTGTCCCAAGTACTGCCGGCTAGCGACTTGAGGACCTTGTTGCGGCTCTGTACTTTGTTGACAATAGCGGTTGCGTGCGCAGAGAAGGAGAGCAGACTGTCGAAGGTTACTCCGAGTATTTTGGGGTTATTCACCGTCGGAATTGGTGTATCATCGACGTGAATTCCCAGCGGTAGTCTGACTTCCTTCGTCCAGGTGGTGAACAGGGTCGCAGAGGATTTTGTAGGGGAGATGATTGGGCTCCTAGCAGCGAAGAAGCGCGAAAGCTCGGAGAGATACCCGTTTACTTTCGAACACAAGTAATCAATTCCATTCTCAGACGCCATTACCGAACAATCGTCGGCATAAGTGACAATCGAGACTCCCTCTGGTGGTTGAAGGAGCTTTGAAATGTAAAAGTTAAACAGTAACAGGGAAAGGACACCACCCTGTGGAACCCCCTGTTTAATTTTTCTGAGTTTGCTCGATTTGTCTCTAAATATTACCGACGAGTGTCGACCACTCAGATAATTTGCCTCTATGTCTTCTAGTAGCGTGGAGGGGCTGATGGTATTAAACGCCTTTGACAGGTCCAACGCTACTGCGTGTTTATGGCGTTAAGTGCTGTTGTTGTACTGTGCACTTTACGGAAACCATGTTTATGCTTCGCTGGGGTCAGGTGGTTCGTGAAATACGTGAAAGCAGCAAAGCCTCTAGTGTCTTCGATACTGGGGAAAGGAGGGTTATCGGGTGATAAGGTTCTCCTTTCTTGGCTGGTTTCCCCGGTTTGAGCAGTGGGACCACTCTCCCCATCTTCCCGATGTCTGGGGTGATGAGAGTGGCCATTGACATATTGAGGACCTCCGTTAGGTACGCTACTCCCGCAGGACCCACATTTTTCAACATCAACATGCATATTCCGTCGGGCCCAATGGCTTTGGAGGCTTTCGCCTTCTTGATGGTCATTGTAACTTCACTGGTAGTGAAAGCAAGTGGGGCACAGGTTGTTGGCAGCCTATGCAGCCTTCTGGTCACTCGATGCTTGGCTTTGTCCACCGTAGGATGCAGTATGAACTGCCGGCTAAAATAGCTCTCGCATCGCTCCGGGTCCGACGAGGAATGGCCGCCGAAAGAAATGTCGACCCTGTCGTCGTGCTTCGTCAGATTGGACAGTGCCCTCAAGGTTGACCAAAGCTTACTCACACCAGAGGTGAAGCTACAAGTCTTCCGATGCTCTTCCCACTTTTTCCGCTTATGTACATCCACAAGCTGCCGAATCTCCGCGTTGATTTCCGCGGGGATTTCCGGGATCGGCCTGACGAAGGTGGACGTCGGTTAGTGTGGGGAGCGCAGTGAAGGGGATCTCAGTAAATTCCGCCAAGCCTTTTCAATCAGCTGTGGAAAAGTTGATATCGATCCGGTGTTCCGCGGAAGCAAAGTCGGTTGGTTTATCGATCGAGATGACTATGGGCAAATGTTCTGATGCCAAAGTCAGCATAGGTCGCGAGAATACGCTGTTCTAAGATACTTCGCCGACCTAAACGGGGTTAGATCGCCGAAACAACAGCCCTTGGTCGGGTGAAACCCGAGTCATTCCGGTATGTAGAACCGGCTTACAGACAGGCCCTGAACGGCATTCACAGGGACTCAGTCTCGAGTTATGTAGACTCTAGACCTGTGAATGCCGTTCTAGGCATACCATCCCCGGACATAGACGAGACGGAGCTTCATCTGCCTCGGGAGACACGCACAACACTCGCTCAACTTCGCTCCGGCTACTGCAGCAGGCTGAACTTGAGTAGGTTGAATGAGGATGTGCCGAATGAGTGTCCGGCATGCGGAGAGACCCCACACGACTCGAAACATCTCTTTGCATGCCCGGAAAACCCGACAACCCTAACGGCCTTGTCCCTGTGGACAAACCCCACAGAAGCTGCACGCTTCCTAGGGTTGCCGTTAGTGGAACTTGACGACAACGACTGAGATACCAACCGATCTGGGCGGGGTTGTTGTAGCCGCTACAACAACAACAACAACATGATACGCTGTTTTTCAGACCAGCGCTGACGATTGTTATATCTGGCGAGCTGCAGCAGCTGCCCATAATCTTGGTGGATGCGTCGTCGTTCATTGTGCAGAATGTCCAATCGTCTATCTGCTCAGCCAAGTCTGTTCCCCTACGATCGTTTGACAGGCTTGAATGCCAAAGATCGTGGTGCGCATTAAAGTCACCAACTACCATACGGTTTTCACCTCTGAAGAGCGCACCTATATCAGGGTGATATCTTGCCGGGCAGCTAGTGACAGGGGGTATATAAACGTTAAATTATTTCGATCTCGACATCGCCTGACCGGATAGCGATGCCCTGACATCCTAGGGTGGTATACCTGCAATCGATGTCTGCTTCAATTAGACGATACTGCACGGTGTGGTGCGTGATGAACGCTAAGCCACCACCATTATCTCGCTCGCAATCTCGACGGTGCACGCTGTATCCGGCACGATTCAACAATGTTGAATTGCTGTGCAACTTCATCTCTTGGACCGCAGCCTTCCCATGAAGACGGTTATCTCCTCGGTATTGCTCTAAGTCCGTTGCAGTAAAATCGAAG